GTACCTTCCCAACCCAGGGATCGGACCAGGGTCTGCCGCCTTGCAGGCGGATTTTTACCAGGTGAGCCACAAGGGGAGCCCAAGAATACTGGAGTGGGTAGCCTATCCCTTCTCCAGCGGATCTGCTAGTCAGAGCTTGACATGACAAAGTGGGTCACCTTCTCTACCTACCGCCAAAACGCGTGGCTGTTCTTGCCACAGAGGCCCCCGTGCTGTGTGACTCATCTGAGTGATTGAGAGCAAAGAACAAACATCTCAGATACCTCTCTGAGAAAAACTGCAACCCTCTAAGATGACTATTTATCTCGGGCGAACCTGCAGATTTTAAAACCTGAATAGTGGAGGAGATACCTGCCTAAAACAGCTGCTGGTGGTCCCGGTTTTCCTACAAAGGCAGACCTGCAATTCTGAGACCCTGGCTCAGCAACTGCAAGAGCAGCGAGGGGAAGGGAAGGTGACCGAAGGATAGGAGACCTAAGACTAGCTCTTCCAAAGCTCCCGGAGCTTAGGCAAAGATATGGTTACACCTTCTGGTCATAAGCAGGTGAAGACAGTCAGGGAGCAGTGCAAGGAACACTGAATTTGGTTCAGTCAGTTATAAGCTACAGGGAAACCACAAGCTCTCTGAGTAATGCAAGGTCCTAGAGTCATTATGAAGACAAAATATAAAACTCCCGAGGCACGTGCTATATACAAATGTGCACAGGTTACCGGGACGCACAGCGTAACTGGCAAGGTCCAATGTGAACGGAAAACGGGGGGTGCTTTGTTCAAGGAATTTCAGAAGGCGATGGCAGAGCATAAATCAAACAAAAGAGCCTCTCTAGGACTTCTCGGGGGGCTCAGTGGTAAAGAACCCACTTGCCAATGCAGGAGACACAGGAGACGTGGGTTTGGTCCCTGGGTTGGGAAGACCCCCTGAAGAAGGAAATGGTAACCCATTCCAATGTTCTTGCCTGGAAAATCCCATGGACAGAGAAGCCTGCCAGGCTACAGTCGATGGGGTCACAGAAGAGTTGGACACGACTGAACACACACACACGCACAAGTGACTGTGACTATACACACCACAGGCCCATGAACCAGCCCCAGAAATCTCTGTTCACCAGATGGGTGCACTGCTATAACTGCATGGTTGAATCTCCAGAGTACCTTGCCTTTGGTTAAACAGTCCAGAAACATTCAGGATTGCATTACAATAAAAGGAAGTAGGATTTCATATATTAAAAAGGAACGCTTTCATTTTACAAGACAAACATTGGGAGAAGAGAAAAGTTACCTTTCAGTGTACAGTGCCTACAAGGTAGGAGCTTTATGTATATTTTTCCTATTTAACCTTCACACACAACCCTAAAAAGTAGATATAAAAACATCTTTTCACAGCTTAAGAAATTAAGGCTCTGAGAGGTTAAGAAACTTGTCTATGATTACACCATTTTTCTCAAACAGCTCATTAATTCATCTGATAATGTTTCCTGAGCTCCTTCTAGGGAGAAAACAGCAAGACAAAACAACCACCTCTCCCCAGTCCTGTCTGTGGCTTCTTTGAGTTTAACAACTTAGTCAGGAGAGAGAGCTATTCATGAAAGAATCTCATTTTTTTAAAAAGAGAAATGCAAAATTAATGAACTTTATAAACAGAGTTGCCAGATTTAGCAAATAAAAATACAGAATGTCTAGATAAGTTGAAATTTCATATAAATAATAAATAATGCTTAATATGGCTCATGCAATATTTGAGACATTTATGTTAAAATTCAAATTTGACTGAGCATGCTCTTTTTCTCTGACAACCTTACGGATAAGGAAAAGCACACTGTGATGGGAGAGGGCATTTTAACCTCACAAAAGCGGCTCAGGAGGCTTCTTCAGGAAGAGAAGGCTGGACTGGAACCTAAATAACATAGGACAGTAACATGAGGAAGGCAGGCTGGAGCAAGAGATGAGGTTGCCACAGCAGGAGGAGACGGGTGTTTGAAAGCCGCTGGGATGGGAGAGGTTCGGGGTTATGTAACCCGAGGTTACGGAAGTGAGCTGGGGCCAGACCACCCAGAGCCTTGCAGACTTTGAAGGCCAAGGTTTTCAGTCTTTATGCTAGTAGACAGACCCGTCATACGTCATGCTCCCTCGGCCTATGCCCGTCTGTCTCCAGAGTCCTTCCCGAACACAGACTTCACTCTGCCTCTGCCTCTTACCAAAGAAGCCAGACATCTCGAAACCTGCCTTGCCAAGCCAGAATGCGACTCCTGTGAGAGTTTCGAGCAGATATTCCATCAGCACCACAGAGAACAACACAGCTTAGACAGTCCATGTGTTCCGGGTCCCTGCTGCACGGCCAAGGACTGTTCAAGTGTTCCTGCAACTGTGGTCCCCAAACGACAGCAGCGCCTGACAAACCGCACACTCGGGGCAACCCAGGCAACCACGCGTTTGGGATGTCTGGGATGGGGCTCAGAAATCTCCACCTGGACAAGCGACCTGGGGGAGCACACGGCTGTTCTAGAAATCTGATCTATTAGACTCTTCTAGGACTTCTAGTTCACAGGGTTCTCAAAGAATGGGAAATGACGGGAGAAAGCACTCTACCTTGTCATAAATCTCATCCGTGCTCTTAAATTATAAGAAGGCCTGAGTGCTCTAAGAAGACTAAAGCCCATCAATACAGTTTACAGTGTCTGCTTCAAATCATTTGTATTACCTACTGTCCGCAGGGAAAGATACAGCAGGCACGGTGTGCTCTAGGTGGTCAAGAGAAAACATGTTAAGTGTTGTCATGTTAAATTGAACTCAATATTCACTTTACATTAAACTGAGATTATTATTTCTCAACTCTGGTCTTTTAAAAATGTTTTAACTCATACCCCTCATGGCATAATACAAAATCTAACAGACTGATTACAAATACACAGCCCATGTTCCCATGTAAAATTTCAATGAGTTAATTTTAAAAATCTCATATTCTATTTATAAGAAAAGTTCAAATTTAAAATATTATGTATTATATATTTCTTATATTTTATGGAGGGAAAGAACATTAGAACCAGAAAGGACCAAACCATCCAATCCAGCCCTCTAAGTTCATCTCATTTTGTTCACTTCTTTCCAGGGAAACCACCTGATATACAATGACTACTGACCTTTCCTAATTACAAGGGGTGTTTCAGATAAACTATATAGTGTCTTTGTACCCTCATTCCAGCAAGAATTAAGACATTAACTTCATCCTCCCTTGTTATTTCAGTTGTGTCCAAAAAAAAGAAGCTTCCAATTTTATCCACTGCAACATTTTACACTGGCTACTCAACAGAGATGTAATTTAAAAAGTAAAACTCAAATTAATTTAGCATTGTTGTACCAAAGCTGCATGAAGTTGATGGGGGGGGGGGTGCCTCTCCTAGGTTTACAAACAGACTTCATCGAAATGATGAATTTGTGTTAAATGAATAATGGTATCCATGTCATAAACCATGGCTCAGACAGAAACCTCAGCAACATGGAACCAAGAAGCAGTGATGAATCATAGATTTTTCTCCTGCTAGAGCTGCATAGAATTAAAAGGACATTTTAACTTTTACTCTTCACAGAAATCTACCATTATGCATGAGTAACGTGAATAACAACACAGTGACCTGATTTGGAAGGCATTCAGATGTTTTTATTCATGAAATATGTCATCAAGAAGTCTACCTCAGAATAAGAGCTAATATCCCTAATTACAGGAAATGGATTTTCTGTACTTGTGGTCAGGTAATATACTGCACATTTTGATGTCTTCTGCAAGTAATCGTCTTGAGGGTGGCAACTACATCCTGTTTTCTGAGGGACCTTCCACCCTTACAGAATATGACAGCATTAATAATGAGTCGGATTTTTACCTAAAAGCTCCTAGGCTAGTATGATGCTCAGACCCAAGGCTACTTTCAAATGTCATTGGGTCATGAAAAATAAATTTAATTTCTCCACTACATCACCAAAACACTCAGATGCAATCCAGAGCTTTCCCTCCCCTGCCCCTCTCCTCCAGACAGCCAGCAGCTAATGGCATTTGATTTTATATTAGACTGCTAGGAAAAGTCTATTGTCTGCATTTGCTGACACTGAAGGCCAAATGTCATTAAAGGAACAGTGCCGGAGGAAGTCGCCAGACTTTTTGAAAAAATATGTTTTCTCTTTCCTTAAAGGGATTTTGTTTTATAAATTTTCCATTCATACAGAATATGTACGTCCATAACTCTCTGAGACGCTCTCTTTTGTCCTCAAAACAACTTTTTAATAAGAGCTAGTCTCAGCTATTTTTCACATTTCTCAAACACGGAGGATGAACCCAGAAGGGTAAGTCACTTGCCCATAACATAAGGTGGTGACATAACACAATACTTGGGGAAAATGAGACCAGGATCTTTTACTCTGTTCTCTTTAATAACTATGCCCTCCTTTCTCCCGTTAGCCCCTCAACTCCATCACCCCTTCACTCCTTTTGCCCCACATCCTGCCGATGTGGGCTCATTCAGGAAAGCCGGTAGAAAAATCTTTGCCATTAGATTTCCAGAAAGTGGGGTCCTTTTGTTGTTGTTAATACATAGGAAGAAATGTGGTTGGGCTTTTTATCCTTTACCAGAGAATGCACTGGCAGTGAGGTTTTCAACACATTTTTAGGAGGAACGCGAGCACACTGTTTTGCAAGCCTTTCTCAAGCTCCACTTAGAGGCCGTGCCTCCTAACAAAACTCCTGAAGAACGGTGAAGGAATGGATCAGAGCTACAGAATCCGAAGAACCTCAGCATCAAAGCTTTCACAGGAAAACTGGCCGGGAGCACGAGGCCTTTTGGAACCGGCCACTGAAAATGAGCGGATGCAGGACTAATACCCAATTCTCCCCCAGGATTAAGGATAGGAATGGAACTGAAACAACTTTCCTTCTCGACCCGTCAGTCGGTTAAGAATGAAGGGAGGAGGTCCAGAGTCGGAGGAGACCGTCAGGGAATCCCTGTCGCGGCGCCTCAAAAGACGCTCCATCTTCTCGGTCCCCGGGGAGCTTCCGGCCGCTGCGGCGCCTTGGCGGCACTGCGGTGCACTGCGGAGCCGCCGGCCGGCCCGCGGCCGGGGCCCTGCGGGGCTTCCCTCGCCGCCGGGCGCCGCCGCCCGCCCGCCTGCCCCCGCCGCAGTCCGCCGGTGCCCGCCTCCACCCGCGCCTCCCCTGGTCGCCGCGGCCCGCGCCGGGGGCGCCGCAGGACATCCATCCTGCGAGAGCCTTTGACGCACACACGCGCGCTCCCAGACGGAGACTCCGCCGCCTCCCGCATCCCCCGCCCTCGCCCCCGCTCGCGGGCCCGTATTTGCATCACTAGCACACGCAGCCAGTGACGCGAGCGCTCTCCATCACCCCCCACCTCGCCCGCTCCGCCGCCCCGACTCGCCCACCCCGGCTCGGGCCGTCCCGGCCGCACCTCCAGCCCGTGTGACTCAGCCCCTCCCTCTCCGCCCCCGCGCGCCGCGGGGCCCCGCACGCCCCCGCGAAGGCTCTGGGTTAAGCATCTGCGGCGGGGTGCCCGCTGCCCCCCAGCCAAGTTCATCACCGTATTCCGCAGTCCTGGTGGGCCCAGCCCCAGGCGGTCCCCTCGGCACGCTGGAGGAAAGTCTTCCCAGTTCTAGAACCCAGAAGCGGGGGGAAAGAGCCCGCCAAGAGAAAGGGTCAGTGAGGTGGGGGAATCGCCTCCGCCGCCCTGCTCAGCACCTGAAATCACTTCGGTAGTTTATTTGCAGGTGACGGCCCCTCTCCCCGCGGAGCTTCACACCAGTGGAGCTCTGTCGCCGCGTCTGGCGCACAGTAAGCGCTCAGTCGGCTTTTACTGAATGAAGGCACAGTGTGGTCAAGCGCAGACACTCACAGACAGCCCCGCGGCTTTCCGGGCTCTTCAGCCCTCGCTTGTTCTCCTGCGGACACTAGACGGGGCTTCGAAGGTCTGAGCCGAGAACAGTCTTTACATCCCAGGTGTTTCTTTGAGGCTTCCCGCAGCGCCCACTGCGGCTGCCTCCGATCTCCCGCCTCCCGCCCCTCTGCAAAGGGATTCCCGGCTAAAAAGTTGAGCCCAAGGCTGGGTTGCGGCACAAGGGTACCGGCGAGGCGCGGTCGGACACCCGGCCAGGGTTTCGGAGCTTCTGGTTTTAAAGCAGCCTCCTCCTGCCCATCGAATCACAAAAGCAAAGGATAGTGGAGGTCCCTGCAGAAGGCAGGCGCGGCCCCCGCAACCGCCGCAGCTGCCCACCTACCTCCGTCGGGAATCGAGGATAAAGCGCGCCCGTTTCCCCCAGACCAACCCCAGGCAACCGGGGGTCACTGTCTGCTTTACCCCTACTTCCTCGATCCTGCTCCCGCAAAGGCATCCGGCCGGCCGGGCAGCACCTCGCACCTGCAACCACCTTCCCGTGGGCGGGTGGGGCAAAGTTGCTTTATCTAAAAGGCCACGAAAAGTTCCCCAGGCTGCAGCGCTCGGCCTGCGGGTCCCGGAGGGACAAGAAGTAGCGGCGGGAAAATCCGCCACCGCTGCCAGGGTCCCCTACTCACCGCGCCAGCAGCCGGGCACCCACTTCCTAGGACAGAGTCAAGCCTTCAGCCTTCAGCCTCGCTCCTCCGGGGCGCCTCCGTCTGCCGCGCTCTCCCGCAGCGCGCGGAGTGGCGACTCCTCGGAGCCGGTCAGCCGCGAGAGGCGGGGCGGGTGAGCGGCTCGGGGCTCGCCCGCTGCGGTCCTCCTCCTCCTCCGCCGCCTCGCCTCGCCTCCGCCCCCCGGTGCTGCAGTGCCGGGCGGCGGCGTGGCGAGAGTACGAGCGGCGCGCGGGGAGGGAGTCACGGCGCGCGGGGGAGGCGGCAGCCGCGCACGACTCGCTGCGGGGCGGGCCAGCGCGCTCCGGGAAGTCGGCGTCCTGGGCGCTGCGGAGGCGCGGGATGGGGGCGGGTAGGGTCACCCCCAAGTCGCAGGTACTTTTGGAGAAGTCAGGGCTCCGAGTTCGCAGCAGGAGGGTGAAAACGGACCCAATCCTTAATTAGTCACTGGGTGTGACGGTGCGTTGCGCACCTGGGGGCGGCGCCCGGAGTCTGTCCGGTGGGACCACACGGAATCCCGAGTGTGGGAGCCCGCTGGTGCCTAGGGGGAAAAGGCGCGCCTCCAGTTTCTGGGGCCTGGGGGCTAGCCTGTTTAACTTTGACTGGCTTCCCCGGGAGCCACCAGGCCGGGCTAGGTGGCCCCAGCTCCCCCTCACCGGCCCCCCTCGCTGACATACAAGTGGAGGCGAATCTTGGGGCGGAGCTGAAGCAAACGGGAGGAAACTTTGCCGGTTGCCTGGGGTCACCCCAATGCTAGGTAGGGCCAGACAGCCGGACTCACAGGCAGACATCTGAAATGGCCTTTGGGGGGGAAGGTACCTAATAATTTTTTTTAAATTGTTTTAACAGCCAGGGGAATTTTGTTAGTATTTTCAGTAACATTTCGCCCCTTTCAGTGCTGGGGACGCCAGCAGGAGTTCTCCCCCATTTCAAAGTGGCGGGGTTCACAGCTCCGGAGAAACCTGCCCCGACGAGGCCACACCCGGGGCTGGAGCGGCCACGAAGGCAGCGCAGAGGGTGGCGTTGCTTCCCGTGGACCCCCGGCCGCCGCCCCTTCTTCCCCCTCCTCCCCCCATCTCCGATGCTGCCCGCTGGACGCTGCGGGAAGCAGGGCTTCCCCTATCTCCGACCCAACCAGCTCCGCGCTCACACTGAACTAAAGCGGGCTGGGAATCGGCTGCAGAGGCAGGTGCCTTCCCGCTGATCACTGCTCGGGTGATGGGTGACCTGAAACGAGAGAAAGCACAGTGCCTGTGTAGGCTTCCGGGAGTGGAAATCACACACGCGCTCGCGCGCGCGCGCGCACACACACACACACACACACACACACACACACAGTCTATCTGCCAGTATGTTCTATTCATGTAAATGTGCCTGGATGATTGAATGGATGGATGTGTGGATATAAATGTAAATACTACATGAGGGGAAACAAGGTCTCTGGCACCTAAGGCAGCCTGCGGCCTAGAGAGGGTGATGGGCACGTGAGGCTGTTCACCCTCGGCAGTGCCATAATGTGAGCTTTCCGCTTGGTCTGTGCCACAACGCCTCATAACTGTGGAGGGAAGAAAATGCAATCAATCCTTGGCCTGTAACTTGCCTTTCTCTCCATTTTGGGTACTCCAGAATTTAAGATATGATTCCCGTGTACCATAGAACCTCACCTGCTGCACTGGTCTTGAAAACCTTTCCTGGGTCTCGTTTTGGTTAAAGATTTTGCAATTTGCAACCATGTGTGGTCCTGAAAAGTGGTCAGGCAACGTGAAAATCAGGGAGCATACTCATTTCATTTCATGGATCCTTCTGCATTAACAAATTATTTAAGTTAATTGTATAGGCTAAGGGCTTCCCTTGTGGTTCAGCTGGTAAAGAATCCCCCACTCCAACCCACTATGTGGGAGACCTGGGTTCGATCCTTGGGTTAGGAATATCCCCTGGAGAAGGGAAAGGCTACCCACTCCAGTATTCTGGCCTGGAGAATTCCATGGACTATATAGGCCATGGGGTTGCAAAGAGTCAGACAGGACTGAGCGACTTTCACTTTACTTCACTTCATATAGGCTAAGGGTCTTTCCAGGTGGCGCTAGTGGTAAAGAACCTGCCTGCCAACGCAGGTTAGTCTAAGAGATGCCCCTTGGATCCCTGGGTCAGTAAGATCCCCTGGAGAAGGGGATGGCAATCTACTCCATTCTTCCTGCCTGGAGAATCCCATGGACAGAGGAGCCTGGTGGGCTACAGTCCATGGGGTTGCACAGAGTCAGACATGACTGAAGCAACTTAACATGACATATAGGTTAAAATTATTGTTGTTACCTTCAGAAGGAAAATATATCTCATGAGGGTGCCTATAAATCCAGTATTGGAAATAAAATTGTTAAAATTAAAAAAATCATGTCTTACCCAGATTGCTTATGTATTACATATGTATATGTGTATGCGCATAATTTTGAGCTCCCATTTGCAAAATGTGCTGGTAATTCATTGGGTTTTCAAGTGGATACCCTCTTAAGGACTCCCCCCCCCCCCGGCAAATGTTATGGTATAATGGGTTATGTCTCCAGTGACAGAAGTTCAGAAAACTGTGAAACAAACATTAAAAATGATCAATGTGCTCTGTTATTCTCTCTCCCTTAAATCATTCCCCTGTGCTGTCTATGGAAGATATTTAAAGGAGTGTATAAATTTTTCTTGCTGCTGAATTTTCATGTCTTGATGCACTTGAAGATGACAGCTCCTACAGGAAAATTCCTGAGTGTATGTTTGCAGGAAATGGCCAATTTAAGACCAGGTCGTGCTGGAGGAGGGTTTTTGCATGTTGTCTCTCTGGAGCACAGCTTGTCTCTCGGGAGCACTCACATGATGGTGTGCAGAGGCCCCTTGGCTAGTCCCTCCACAGCCACTCTCATTTTGAGGTCTCACCTAGTGCACCTCTTGGCCCCAGGCCTGTTGGATCAGACACTCAGAACTGTCATCTTCATGCCTTCATTGCCAAAGACATGTTTCTCTCCTTAAAGCACGTGTCCTATAGGCGCTGATGGAAGGTAAAGTGAACACCTTCCTTGTCCCCACAAATTCCAGTGTTCTGAAGTCACTACACACTTACAAATCAGGAATTGTATTCCTTCGTGTAGTGGGTGCTTGTGATGCTACAAAGCAAGCTGTTAAAGACACCTAAGGACATCAAAGATCCACCCTCATGTCTACAAAATGGGCTCAATAAAAATAATTCTTACTCAGCACAGATGCCATATTGATTAAAACCGATAACATACTCAAGAAGCACAGCGCCTAGCACATGCTGGGCACAGAATAGTTCCCGTTCCCCTTTTACTAACCAGAGTGAGGTTTTCCACAGGCTCTGCCCTGGAGCACTAGCCCTGTATGATGGTGCTCCTGCAAGCTCAAAGGATCCTCTAGCTTCCAGAACTGGAGTCTAGAGAGAGCCTCATGCACTCGGTCCAAGGCCACACCTCTCCAGTTCTCCTTACTGTCCTCATCAGGGATCAAAAGCAAGGCATAGACACCCACCCTTCTTACCCCCAAAACTCACAGTTTCCCAACACTGTATGTTTTGAACCTAATGTTAATCTCATTAAGCCTTTCAGTTCAGTAGATCAGTCGTGTCCGAGTCTTTGCAACCCCATGAACCGCAGCAGTTCTCCAGTTCTTGTATCACTGTCTGGAATTAAGCAGGTGATATCCTTCTTGTTCCTTATTGCTGCTTCCAAAACATTCTTCATCCCTTCTCTCTAAAACCTGCAGCTTTGAATCTTACCTTATCAGGTTATTTCAGCCATTACTTTTAAAAATTGAAGTACAGTTAATTTACAATATAGTGTTAAGTTTCAGGTGTACAGAAAGTGATTCAGTTACATATATGTGTATATATATATATATTTCATATTCTTTTCCATCATCAGTTCAGTTCAGTTGCTCAGCTGTGTCCGACTCTTTTCGACCCCATGAACCGCA